TATATCGTTCGACAGTGAAAGCACTCGGAATGGATAGAACCGAGGCTTGGTTGTGGTCAAATCCAACCGTTTTGACAGACGCTATCGTGGTTAAAGCGGCCATCGTGTTTCGCATATTCAGGAGCTAACGAAACGTCACCGCTGAAACCATGTCAAGGGTACGGAGAATACAGCCGTGTCCCAGGAAGTAATGCCAAAGGATCTCGTCGATATGCTGCACTATTTCCATGGACCACACTAGTTTTCATTGCTCAACATTGGAATACCTAACAACACTTGAAGAACGACGAACCATCGGAGGGATTGTTGAAGGAATTGCTGCCGGAATTGCTAAAGAAAAGTAAGAACGTAGTGGGTTGTCCACAACAACCCACACTTTTGGATAATTACTCGTGCTATTGGAAGCTTTTGCGGATTACATAACTGTCGTAAGACATAGTTCAGATTTTGCATGGAATTTTAAAAACATATGAGCAAGGTTTCTGCATTTCCGAGTCCCACCTGAGAGCAGCCCGCCACCCACCATATATTGAGAGACGCCGGCCTAATGACCATTCGGTTCAATGACCGGTCAGTCTAGTGGTATTCGGCCAAATGATTCACTATCAAAATGCTTTACGTTTCCTGCATGGAGGCAAAATCGATAAAAAAAAATTGCGTAAAATCGGAATCGAGTGTAATAGATAAGCGAATGCTTGAGTTTGCATAGGGAGTTTGGTAGATATGTATGTCTCCCGACGTTTTAGGGACAAAAAGGTCGAACGACAAAGAGGTCGAACGATAAAAAGGTCGAACGACAAAAGGTTGAACGACAAAAGGTCGAACGACAAAATGTCGAACGACAAAAGGTCGAAAAGACAACCTGTCGAAAGACAACCTGTCGAAAGACAACCTGTCGAAAGACAACCTGTCGAAAGACAACCTGTCGAAAGACAACCTGTCGAAAGACAACCTGTCGAAAGACAACCTGTCGAAAGACAACCTGTCGAAAGACAACCTGTCGAAAGCCAACCTGTCGAAAGACAACCTGTTGAAGACAACAGGTCGAAAAACAACAGGTCGAATGACAAAAGGTCTAACGGCAAAAGGTCATACGAAAAAAGATCGAACGAGAAAATGTCGAAAGACAAAATGTCGAAGGCCAAAAGATCGAAGGGACAAATCGAAAGACAAAAGGTCGAACGAAAAACGGTCGAATGACAAAAAGTCAAAAGACAAAAGGTCGAAAGACAACCAAATTGAAATACAAAATGTCGAAATACAACAGGTCGAAAGACAAAAGATCGAATGACAAAAGGCCAAAAGACAAAAGGTCGAAAGACAACAGATCGAAAAACAACAGCTCGAAAGACAACAGATCGAAAGACAACAGATCGAAAGACAAACGGTCGATAGACAAAAGTTCGAAGTACAAAAGGTCGAAAGGATAAAAGGTCGAAGTAAAAAGGTCGAAGTAAAAAGGTCGAAGTAAAAAGGTCGAAGTAAAAAGGTCGAAGTAAAAAGGTCGATAGACAAAAGGTCGAAAAGACAACCTGTCGATAGACAACGGGTCGAAAAACAACAGGACGAATGACAAAAGGTCTAACGACAAAAGGTCGAAAGACAAAAGGTCAAAATACAACAGGTTAAAATACAACTGGTCGAAAGACAACAGGTCGAAAGACAACAGGTCGAAAGACAACAGGTCGAAAGACAACAGGTCGAAAGACAACAGGTCGAAAGACAACAGGTCGAAAGACAACTGGTCGAAAGACAACTGGTCGAAAGACAACTGGTCGAAAGACAACTGGTCGAAAGACAAAAGGTCAAAAGACAACCAGGTCGAAACACAACAGGTCGAAAGACAACAGGTCGAAAGACAACAGGTCGAAAGACAACAGGTCGAAAGACAACAGGTCGAAAGACAACAGGTCGAAAGACAACAGGTCAAAAGACAACAGGTCGAAAGACAACAGGTCGAAAGACAACAGGTCGAAAGACAACAGGTCGAAAGACAACAGGTCGAAAGACAACAGGTCGAAAGACAACAGGTCGAAAGACAACAGGTCGAAAGACAACAGGTCGAAAGACAACAGGTCGAAAGACAACAGGTCGAAAGACAACAGGTCGAAAGACAACAGGTCGAAAGACAACAGGTCGAAAGACAACAGGTCGAAAGACAACAGGTCGAAAGACAACAGGTCGAAAGACAACAGGTCGAAAGACAACAGGTCGAAAGACAACAGGTCGAAAGACAACAGGTCGAAAGACAACAGGTCGAAAGACAACAGGTCGAAAGACAACAGGTCGAAAGACAACAGGTCGAAAGACAACAGGTCGAAAGACAACAGGTCGAAAGACAACAGGTCGAAAGACAACAGGTCGAAAGACAACAGGTCGAAAGACAACAGGTCGAAAGACAACAGGTCGAAAGACAACAGGTCGAAAGACAAAAGATCGAATGACAAAAGGCCAGAAGACAACAGGTCAAAAGACAACAGATCGAAAGACAAAAGGTCGAAAGGACAAAAGGTTGAAGTAAAAAGGTCGAATGACAAACGGTCGAATGATAAACGGTCGAATGATAAACGGTCGAATGACAAACGGTCGAATGAAAAAAGGTCGAAAAGACAAAAGTTCGAAAGACAACCTGTCGAAAAACAACAGGTTGACTGAAAAAAGGTCTAACGACAAAAGGTCAAAAGGCAACCAGGTCGAAAGACATCAGGTCGAATGAACAAAAGGTCGAAAGACAACAGGTCGAAAGAAAACAGATCGAAAGAAAACAGGTCGAAAGACAACAGGTCAAAAGACAACAGGTCGAAAGACAACAGGTCGAATGACAAAAGGTCGAAAGACAAAAGTTCGAAAGACAACCAGGTCAAAAGACATCAGGTTGAACGAAAAAGGTCGATAGACAACAGGTCGCAAGATAAAATGTCAAAAGACAAAAGGTCTAAAGACAACAGATCGATAGACAAAAGGTCGAAGTACAAAAGGTCGAAGTACAAAAGGTCGAAAGGACAAAAGTCGACGTAAAAAGGTCGATAGACAAAAGGTCGAAAGTCGAAATTGTCGATTTTACAAAAGGTCGATAGACAAAAGGTTGAAAGACAAAAGGTCGAAACACACAAGGTCGGAAGACAAAAGATCGAAACACAAAAGGTCGAATTTCCCCTATCTGATAGTAGTGTTAGCAAGCGTTGGCGAGCTAAATCGACTATCAAATGGATTGTTTACAAAAGCTAATACGTGCCTTCTTTAAAAATCACTAATGCTTCACAAAAAAAAAATCAGTTCTTGAGTTTCTACCTTTTGTCCTTTCAATCTTTAGTCATGTAAAAATGCGGTTATATCCGAAGGAGACGACTCTATCTACGATGCAGGACAGATTGTCTTGCTGTGGCTAGCTAGACACACGCTGAGTATATAGAAAGAAGATTGCTGACAATTCTGAAGATATCCTGCAGAAAGATGTAGCGCGATGCGAGTAGATGCGTGAGGTTTTTTGAGCATCTAGAATTGAGATTTAGATGTTTCGCCCCCATCGGTTATACCATACTGGAGACGACGATCCGGATTCCAGATATGGCCAAATAGCTTGCCAAATAGGCCATTTTCTCATCTTCCCTGGGAATAGAGTATGATTGTATTTGCTGCACAATATAAGAATGCAAAAAACTCATTACTACGAGTAAGCATAGTGTTCCATTTGGTATGTAATAGACATGAAGAAAATATGTTCCGATTTAGGCGAATCGCTGTGACATACTTATTCTCGGAACCACGTCGAAACTTTAAGTGCACAAATATCAGCTTCTACGACACGTGCAACATTCAAATTGTTACTCCACGGTTGCTGCACTGCAGCATATACGAAGCAGGAACTTCTGGTGAAATGGGGCACCGATTTCCGAGATTTGTGTAATTGAAAATTCGAAGTGGAAGTGCATGTATAGCCTACGTAGCGGCCATTTGTGGACTCTACAAGGAATCACCTTAAAGTCGGTGATCATAAAAATTCAATCATACCAATATGAATCCTCACATAACTCTTACCACAAAACTCACTCCCTCTCAGAAGTAGCCTCCGAGCAAATCCCGGAATCAATGCTGCTCGAACGTTTGATTGCATAGCTCTCTTCCGGAAATGCATACGTGAAGGATAAAATTAGATTCACCACAGTGGAAAATGGCATAATGAACTTTTCCGCCCTCTCTCGGCCTTCCAGCTGAGTTTCTCCGAAAATTTCTGCTAAATCCCCAATGCCATCGTCATCGTCGTCACCATCGTCATCGAACGCGTTCACAATTTTTGCGTTCAGATCTTCGCTTCGTGCTGTCGCAGTTCCCAAAGGAATCATAAGGGAACATCTTTCCCCCGAAGCCAAGCCAATTCCCGGTTGTGCAATTGTTTGATTGGATGCAATCAGTCGCAAAAATGCCAACACTTCCCCGATTCCTTTCACATCGTTCTACAAACTATACTGCCACTGCTGCTGCTGTTAGCACATTTCCCAAATGTTGATCGAATCGAATGATTTCTAATCCTGTTTGCTTTCACCCTTCCAACACCAGCAGCACCAGCAGCAGCACCAGCAGCAGCAGATGGGTGTAGTTAGGTAAGTAGGTACTGCAATCACAGGCGGTGTACGGCCTTCAGAGTAAGTCAACAGGACTTCCAAGACAATGCCGGTTAGAAAGAGTCAAGAAGCATTCCAGGAAAAGTCCAGAAGAATTCCAACAATGGTCTGCAGAACCCTCATAAAACCAAAATTGTTACTTGGGATTATTCAAGTTAACTTAACTAACCCTTGAATACCCAGACTCGTTAAGTCAAAAAATAAACCTTTACCCGCCAGTGCCATCAAAAAGTGCACCCCGATGTAGTTGTTTACCAAACGACACCCGAAGGAAGATCAATGTTTGATTGGATCAGCATCGAAGCAATTTGTGGATGGTTTGGTTGCTCTAGCCGAGCAATGTTACAATGTTGGTATTCTATTGTCCCTTTTACTTACCTCGAGAGTCTCGGTTCAACTGTAGCAGTCCCTGGCGGATGTCTCGAAGGATCTGTCATCGTGGAATGGTGCGAGCGTTGGAAGAAAAAGATAAATTCATTAGATCGATGTCATAAATATACATACACAGGGACCTTTACCGGGTGAGAGTCGTGCGGGATGGGAAAGGGAATTAATCAGGGCAAGAACAATGCAGATTAGAATTCCTAAAAACCAACATCAATTACATCTATCACCCTTCATCACAATGGCATTCGCATCGCAATTTACATCAACACCTCTCTCGGGATTGGAACTATCGTTTGCACCGAATTAGCATCTAATACAAATCGGAGGCTAATCAATCACATTCCATCCTGTACAAATCCGGGGGCAAACGTAAATCCCATTAAATATCCGTCCACCTCCTGTTCCGCCATCAGCTATCGTCGATTACAGATATGATTATTATTATTATTATTATCCTGACGGCTACTATTGACATCAACCACCTCACGTGCGAGAGGAAAACTTTCATCCCCGGCAGCAGTAAACCAACAGGCCAACAGAGGACGAAGGGGAAAATTTGTGGAAATTTATCATCACCACCACCACCACCACCGACGCCATAAGCAGGGGTCGACATATAAATATAGTTTCCTACACCTACCATTCCCAGAAGCGTTCGGACGTAAACGGTGGGAAGTTATGCGAAGCATGCCAGAATTGCCGCATCACAAGCATAAATGTATGACGTGTCTGTACGTGGACACATTGCTTATGCCGTATGAATGGGGTTTGCTCTAGGGGAGCAGGGGAAAAAGGGAGATATCTGAGCTGCGAATTCCATTGAATGAAGATTTTTTTCTGAATATGATGTAGGTTGAATTTTCTGGATTTACAACGATTAAACGTCTACGGTAGGAATTAGTAGCACAACATTTACCACTTAATAAAACAACAGTCGGGCACTTTCTGGAAGACCAATAATGCGACAAATAATATAGTGATTGATTTGGTTGTTCGACTGGTTTTATGGAGATTTCGTTTTTATGGCTTTCTCAGTCTAGGGTAATTCAAACAGTTAGTTTTGCATTGCCCGACGTTTCGGCCGTTTATTGTGGCCTTTTTCAAGGGTAAAACGGTAGACTGTTTTACCCTTGAAAAAGGCCACAATAAACGGCCGAAACGTCGGGCAATGCAAAACTAACTGTTTGAATTACCCTAGACTGAGAAAGCCATAAAAACGAAAAACAAATAATATAGCTATCACTGCTTGAACAGTCAAGACTCGCTATTTCAATATTCTTCATGTAGAATAACTAGCCGAAAACTCGGATTTTTCACTGTTAGAAAAATCAAAATGGAGAAAGTGAAGAACACAATTGAAGTGCGAAGTCCACGATGGGCGAAATTGCTCATTTTTTGAAGACACGCAATGAATGACTCGAAAACTGCTTCCTTCGTTTTTTCCACTTGCACTTCAATTCGGGACTCATTCGACTTGTCACTACCTGACGACGCAGGCATCAAAATACAGTATCCGGATAATATCCGCACAATATCGTTGCCGATAGGGATGGCATCCGGATTATGTGTAGTAAAATATATTATTTTATATTAAATGAAAATTAAATTAACGAGGCCATTCTGAAGTCCAAGATGGCAGCCATCGGGGTCAGGGAAAGTCTCAAATACCCTACAATATGGGTCTTTTCGGAACGGGGACGACGCAAAGGTGCCGAAAATCGATATTCGATGTTATTTTGTAATCCAAAATGGCGGCCATCGGGTTTCAGAAAAAGTGTTAAATACCCTACAATAGGGTATTTTCAGAACGAGGATGCCGCGTAGATGCTGAAAATCGATACCAGACACCATTTTGGAATTCAAGATAATGGCCATTGGTTTCATGAAGTGTCAAATTCCCTAAGATATGGGTATTTTCGGAACGGGAACAACGCGTAGATGCCAAAAATCGATATCCGACGCTATGTTTTAATCCAATATGGCGGCCATCAGGATTCAGAGAGTGTCAACTATCCTACAATATGGGTATTTTCGGAACGGGACGACGCATAGATGCCGAAAATCGATATATATATATTCGATGGCATTTTGGAATCCAAGATGATGGCCATCAAGTATCATTAAACGTGTCAAATACCCTAAGATATGGGTATTTTCGGAACGGAGACACCGCGTGGCTGCCAAAAATGAATATCCAGTGCTATATTGGACTCCAATGTGGCGACCATAAGGTTTCAGACAAAGCGTAAAATACCCTACAATATGGTTATTTTCGGAACAGGGACAACACGTAGATGCCGAAATTCGATATCAGATACCACTTTGGAATTCAATATGGTGGCCAGTGTTGGGAAAATATCAAAAAATCAAATCTCACCAACGCCCAATATCACGCTTGATTTTCGTAAACAAAAATCAACTAGCAAACAACTGCGGTTGATTTTGCAAGCTGTGATATCGCAGCTCGGAATATCAAGCTAACAAAACTCACCAGCTGCAAATCTCACCAAATTGTGGTGAGATTGAGTTTAAGGATTTTTGCTTTACACCCGAATGCAACCGAAACTTCCATAACGGCTTGCAGCAGTCCCTTTGCGTCTGCCATCGGTGAAGATTAAAAAGAGTTAGCAAACTATGCTTTCTCTTTCTAACAAAACGATGTGCAACGGAATCATTTTTGTGTCGAGTCAATTCTTTGCACCTTGTGGATAGTCTCGCAATATCAAAGGAGCTTGTCAAATCAATATTGCGAGCCCATGTGAGCGGAAAAATATCAATTGATTTCGGATTTTGCCAACACTGATGGCGGCCATCAGGGTTCAGAAAGTGTCAAATACCCTATAATATGGATATTTTCGGAATGGGGACAACTTGTGGATGAAACTGTCAAGGAGAGGTTCAGAGAACTTCCGAGTAGAATATCAGAGTACTTCCGGTGAGAAGTTCAAAGATCTTCCAAGGAGAAGTTCAAAGCTTCCGGAAAGAAATTTAGCAAACATCCGCGGAGAAGTTCAGAGAAGTTCCAAGAAGAAGTTCAGAGAACATCCGACGGACATTTCAGAGAGCATGAGAACATCACAAAATTTCCGGCGGACATCGATTTCTGGCTTCTAGATGTCAGCTCGATTCCAAAAAACCCACATTGATCGGTATTTGACAGTATTTCACACTGTTCCTGAACCAATGAAAATAACCATATTTTAGGATATTTGACACTTTTCCGCAAATCGAAATCCGCCATCTTGGATTACAAAATGACGTCGGATATCGATTTCCGGCTTCTAGACGTTACCCTGATTCTTGAAAAAAAAAGGGTTTGTTTCGGTATTTGATAGAATTTACAACCTTTTTTCAAACCGGAAGCCGCCATCATGGATTTCAAAATGGCATCGGATATTGATTTCCAATCTCCAGACGTCACCCCGATTCCAACAATACCCATATTGATGGGACGGCATCAGCATTTCCCATTTTTTCTTAAACTGTAAGCCGCCATCTTGGATTTCAAAATGACGTCGCTTATCAATTTTCGTCGATTCAAAAAAATACCCATATTGATGGGTAAACAAACCACCCGACAATGATAAATTTGACATCCACGTGCACAGATCTATACGCATACGCTTAAATGAACCGAGTGAACAATCAACAAAAGTCATAAAAACTGCGCTAATGTAGATCGAACAGCTTCGCTTCAATGCAAAAGTAAGTTCAACAGCATGATCGAAAGTGGTTCTGTTGATGTTGACGGGGATCTGCTCGAAGAGAAAACAGAATGCCTTTCAATTGAAAGTGATGGTTGACAGCTTCATCGTCGCTTGACGATTTTCGATTGAAAGTGACTTTGTGGAGCCCTGGTTGAAAGTACTATAAGTTCCTAGTAGGAGTTCTCGTCGGAAGTTCTCTGTACTTTCCCTCTGGGTTTCTCGTCGAAGATTCTGTGAATTTGTTTTCGGAAGTTCTCTGAAACTCTCGTCGGAAATTTTGTGATGTTCTCATGTTCTCTGAAATGTTCGTCGGATGTTCTCAGAACTTCTCCTTGGAACTTCTCTGAACTTCTCCCCGGATGTTTGGTAAATTTCTTCCCTGAAGCTTTGAACTTCTCCTTGGAAGATATTTGAACTTCTCACCGGAAGTACTCTGATCTTCTACTCGGAATTTCTCTGAATCTCTCCTTGACAGTTCTCTGAACTTATCCTCGGAAGTCCTCTGGACTTCTCTTCGGACGTACTATGTATTCGGAGTAGCAGGGCCACGATCACGGACTCACTTCCCAGGTTATGCAGCAGACACCGGAAGACCGAAAAAACTACAACGGAGGATTACGCGTAAACGTTAACGGCGAACAACGAACGGACATTTTACGTCTATATTAATTGATATACGTTACAAAAATGGCTAAAGGAAATAACACGTTCTGCAATTAGTGCTGACAACCGTAGCTGTCATTTCAGTTCAGTGTCGTAGGGAAAATATCGCACAAGTCTACAACACCAACACTCCTCCTCGAGATTTTCCAGATTTTCATTTGGGAGCGCCTTAGTCAGCACATCTGCCAACATATCATCCGGCGCGCAGTACTTCAGGGCTACAATCCCGTTCTCCACCAGTTCCTTCATGAAATGCATGCGTGTGTCGATAACTTCAAAGGAAGTTGTTCTCGAACATCATCGTCGGTCCCTCCTGTTTGCGGTTTAAATCCTCCAGCAGCCGAAGAATCCAAATCAACTCCTTACACGCTTCAGATAGAGCGAAGTTCGAAGTTATGGAAGCGCATATTGCCTCAGTCAAAGAGTTGTGCGACAAGGCATCTTGTGATGATAAGATTCTTGTTTGTGGCGGATATAATCAGTCTCGTCTTCAGTGGGGAACCGATCACAACACGGTCTACCTCACCGAAACATCTTCACTGACCGCAGCAAGTATTGCTCTCGTTCATCTCAGTCAACATAATACAATCCGAAATGAACTTGACCGCACGCTGGATTTGGTATTTTGCAACGGTGAAAATGATTTCGATATCGACGAATCCGCTGTGCCGCT